CACTCGTGCCATCACCACTTGCACCTTGTTCCACACTCACTTTCACCTTCACCACTAGCAACCCATGAGTCGTATTCATCCTTACACTACTTTCACAATGCACGTGCCTTTTTCTTAATAATTGCCGAGGAGAGTGGCATGTAGGCCTGGTTCTGGTTTTCCACCCTGACTCATAGTAACCTCTCCATCTTCTCCATAACACAATCACAACTACGAGTAGCCTGCATACTTGCACTGGACACACTACTACCAGCCATTTCCGTAACCTTGTAAGCATTTTTCAGGAGTGTACACACAGTGGCTGACGACAATCCAAACACATGGCAAATATTGGATACCCATTCATTTCGCTTCTGCACATCAATTATCTCTTATCTTTTTCGAGAAAGGAATAGGTACACGTGCATGCTTAGAAACTAGAGTGGTGGTTGAACATTTTTTTTTTTTTTTACGGGGATTAGTCCACCCGGGTGCAGAGCGAAACTGTAATAATCATAATAATAATTTATAGTAAGTGAAATGTATAATAGAAAATAAGAAATTGAAAATAAAATAATAGGAGGCATGACTGTAGCACTACACTAGGTTTGGCATGCCTTTAAAACAATAAGCAAGTTCCAAAGTATGGCAGCATAATGCTTAGGCAGCACAGTACACAGTATAGCGATGACCGTAAATAAATGCGATTCAGTACGAGCGGACAAACCTGGTTAGCAGATTAAAGCACTGCGAGAAGGGAGAGGACAGTAGGGATGTAGGGGAGGGGTGAGCGGCCTGGCCGAGTGGCTTTCAAATACATATCTGCGCATCTATGTCACAAGAGATATTACTGCTGGTTCCGCCTACTCGGCTGGGTAAACTGCCATACTCTGTACTCGCTTCTCGTATTATCGAACAATATCGCTCGTATAAAGAATGTAAGGTGCAAATTCCTTAGCCTCTTACCATCAAATTCTCGTATAAAGAATGCTTGTACAGTATAACGAGATCACACTGTAGTTATTTGAAGATTATCGGTTATGTCTTGTTGACCAGTAAATCTGAAATTTGTGAACTTTACTTTAATTGTACAGTAATTAGAAAAGATACTGTACAGGCGCTCCTCTACTTATGAACGTTCAACTTACAAACTTTCAGAGATGCAAACATCATCACTGAGGGTGGTTACCTGCCAGAACAGGTGTTTCATGTGGATGAGGCTGGATTATTTTGAAGATAATTCCAGATAAAACAAACATTACCTAAGAGGAGAAGAGTGAGCCAGGTTTTAAGGCTGTATTAAAGGGTATAGCTGTACTTAATATTCATAATCTTTAAATTTTTTTACAATATGTTTGGTATCTACAAGAGTAAAGTTGGACTTACAAACAAGCCCCAGGAACGTAACTCGTTTGTAAGTAGAGGAGCACCTGTAATTGGTTTAGGGAGATATGATGGTTCTTGTCTCCACTGTGCCTTGCACCTTTTTCACTTGTGAACAAAGTTACTGTTGTTTCTCTATTAAACTATGTAGTCTTTCATGATACTGAAGGTCTAAGTTCTAAGTTCTTATCATTGGTTCTGTCTGATTTTTTGTTTTTATACTTAGTAGAAGAAAATCTAATAGAATAATTTTATTGAAACTGCAGATGCAGATATTGTGTATAATCATGCTAAGATCATCATTAAGTCATTGTTCAAGAGCAGATCATCTTTGCTTTCATATGCCTTTGTACACATTTAGCTAATGTTGTTGGCATGTTACCAGGTGCTGGAGCCAAGAAGGACGACGTAGTTCACCTACTAGGACAGAGCCTCCCGCGCCTCTCCTCCGACCAGAAGGACACTGTGGCTCGGGCCAAAAAATATGCAATGGAACAGTCCATCCGCCTAGTCCTCATGAAGCAGACTTTAGCACATCAGCAGCAGGTGAGTTATCAGTGGCAAATAACAAGCTTGATTTTGTTGTTAATGAGAGGGTACTTGGTTATATAACACATCTTTGAAGGCCAGTAAGTGGTATAAAAGAATATTAATAATGAAAGAGGAAGACCAAGAAGGTGATGGGTGGTGTACGAATGGAAATGGATAGCTAAAAGAAGCAGCCATGTACGTGAATGACTGGAGTGGTTTATGGGGATGCATGTGCTGCTGATTGGTGGAGTTGGGTTGTGTGAAACTACAGTACAGTCGTGTCGCATCTTAACCGTATAGTAAGTACATGGTTATATATATATACGTCAATAGCACATCTGGCAACTTGGCTGGTTAGGCCTGTTTCAGTTTAAATGTGCACCACATTCAGTATGTGCCCCCAAAAAACAAAAACATTATAATAGGTCAAAAACATAGATGGAATTAATCATTATTTAGAAGCAAGCACTGACCATGGGAGGGAGAGAGCTACAGCTGGTGTTTCCTCACTCACTGCTCTCTCACCGTCTCCTGTTAAATGGCAATGCAGTAATTTTTTCTAGTTTTTATTATTATTATTTTTATTTGTTCCTAACATTTACTGGTACAGACTATATCAATTTACATACAATGAATAAGTTCTTCTACACGAGTACCTCCCAGCTTGCGACACAGTTCAGACAATTACCCAGCTCAGCCGACTCACAGACGTGTGGCGACCACCTTGGTGGGTGTGTGTGTCGTGACGTCGCATCACTCATTTAAAGCCCATATAACCTAACTTCTCATAACACATTTACTTCCCATACATGCTCCTTATTATTCTTATTTTATAGTTTTATATTATATTTTCCATATTTCTAAGCCACATTAGAGTACAGTCGGCCCTTCACATACGCGGGTTTAGCATTCACGGATTCGCAAATACGCGGATTGCCTGGCCGGAGGAATATTCTGTACATTGAAGTACATTCAAATCACGCGCAGCACCGAACACTGCACACCGCCCGCTTCCGCTACCTCACACACACACACGCATAGCTCTCCCTCACTCAGTCAGTCTCGCTGTAACCACGCTTGTGTTGACATCAGCATTGTAGTTGCAAAAATATTACATTTCCGTGAATGTATTATATCAAGCACAGTATGAATAGAATATCACTAATATAACAGTATTTTAACCGAAAACTATTAAAAAAACGAGTAACATATCTTGAACATCGGAAGGTTAGGTAAAGTCTTTTGTTTTCATGTAGTTTATTCTACTTTACATTGAAATACATTACGTTTCAGCAAAACTACTATTTATTTCTGAGAATATGGAAATGTAATATTTTTGCTGAAATGACATACTTATTACAGTGGAAAGTGACGAAAGCAATGACTGTCGCTTTCTTTCGTTCAAAAGATGTTACCCTAATCGCTTTTTGAATGGTTTTCAGTTAAAAAATTGTTGTATTACAATAATATTCTATCCTAATTCACTTGTGATGCAACAGTTTTTTAACTGAAAACCATTCGAAAAGCGATTATGGTAACATCATTTGAACGAAAGAAAGCAAAATTCATTGTTTTCGTCACGATTTTATCCCACTTTCCACTGTAATACGTATGTCATTTTAGCAAAAATATTACATTTCCGTGAATGTAGTATATCAAGCACAGTATGAATAGAATATCATTGTAATATAACAGTATTTTAACCGAAAACTATTAAAAAAAGAGTAACATCTCTTGAACAGCGGAAGGTTAGGTAAAGTCGTTTGTTTTCGTCATGTATTTTATCCTATTTTACATTGAAATACATCACGTTTCAACAAAACTACTACAGTGAACCCTCACTTTACGCGGTCAATTGAACCCACGGCGGCCTGCGTAAAGTGAACAACATAACATATGGGATTAATTGAAATAGAGACCGGGCCGACCCCCAAACTCCACTTTTTCAGACACAATACCTACGTTGTAGTAAAAATAACTTCTTAATTTTATGATGGTATGCACACACAATTAATAATTAAGAGAAATATTAATAATATTAGGTTTTTTAACACTTACATTAGTAGAAAAGATGGCTGGGCACACGGGGATGGGGGGTTGGTTCCGAGGCAGAGGGCAGATTATTGGCCCTCACCTGTATCACTTGTATCAATTGTATCACTATCCACCACAGAGACTTGCAGGGCCTCTTTGTCAAACCCCTCAAAGTCCATATAAGTCCATATCCTCACTATCATTATCATTATCACTGACTTGGGCCGGCTGTGGTGGGTGGCAGGTGAAGAACCCGGTAATGTTTTGATGACTGGGCGACCTTGTGCGCACCCTGCTCGCGCCGCTCTCCGCGTAAAAGGGTACACACACCGCGGAAAGTGAGCATTCCGTGTTCGGCAGGGTACCGCGTAAACGTGGAAACGCGTAAAGCGAGGGTTGACTGTATTTATTTCTGAGAATATATTCATTCAGGCGCAGTTTAGGTAAAATATACATGCAATGTAACAGTTTTTTAACTGAAAACGATTCGAAAAACACGTACCCTCTAGCCCTGTTCAAGGAGAAGACAGGGAGGAGCTGTTTGGTGCTGAAGACGATGACAAGGAAAATGATTTTGATGGATTTTAATGAAAATATTCAGAAATATGGTATCGTAGTATTTATTCAAGTGAATTTAGGATAGAATATTATTGTAATACAACAGTAGTGACGATGTGGAGGAGGCGGAGGGATAGAGCGGGGAGGAGTGGTAACTGGCGGGAGCAGGGACGAGTGGAGATTCCAGCCAGTACATTACGGGTGTGCAGTATTAATTGTTTTTATAGCTCTTTTTGCATTTTAATATTAAATACTCTACATTACGTTTCAACAAAACTACTATTTATTTCTGAGAATATGGAATGTAATATTTTTGCTGAAATGACGTGCCTATTACAGTGGAAAGTGGGATGAAATTGTGACGGAAGCAATGACTCGCTTTCTTTCGTTCAAAAGATGTTACCGTAATCGCTTTTCGAATGGTTTTCAGTCGTGGGATTATGAGGCTAATGATAGGATAGAGTATTATTGTAATACAGTACGGTACAACCGTTTTTTAACTGCAAACCATTCGAAAAGCGATTATGGTAAAATCTTTTGAACAACGAAAGAAAGCGAAAGTCATTGTTTTCGTCATGATTTTATCCCACTTCCACTGTAATATATACGTCATTTCAGCCGAAATACAGTGACCTCTCGTTTAACGAACACCTCGGTTAACGTTATTTCGATTAACGAACTGCCTTCCATAAGGATCTTCAATTCGGTTAACGAAAAAAAATTCGGTTAACGAAGTTCTTACGAACCGACCTCAACATGTTTTCGCTTGCACTGACCAGGCAACCAGCTTTAGTATCAGTCTGCCAATACATTAATCGGTTCTAGGGCTTAAATTCCTTACTATTTTAGTAAATATCAAGAAGTTTATACTATTCAATAATTTTAAAAGTTTAATATTCAATTTTTTGGTCATTTTAACAATTATTGAACATAATTGAAGGTAAAGTGACTAGTTTAATGGGCGGCATCCAGCCTCTTAACACAGCAAACAGGAGTTAGTCTCTCTCTGTTTTCACTGGAGGTAACATCTTGCTTGAGACTCTCTTCAACTAAACGCTTTTTTTCTGTGTTTCCAAGCAAATTATTGGTCATTTTGAAATATATTTTACATATTGACAATATATAATGCAGTGCAGAGTTGATTTAAAGAAAATAATCTTGAATTACACCAAGAGAGCTAAAATTTTATGGGTGAAATGGCGCCATGGGGTGACTTCTCTTCCACCCCAATGCCTTCTCTTCTTCCTTCTCCTCCACCCCCATTCTAAATCCCATCATCATCATCATCGTCCAGGAGCCTTCTACATACACACCTCAAAGTAAGTGAACTTTTCTACCACTTTTGTTGAATTTAGGAAATTTTCGGTGAGCTGGAACCAATTACCCAAAAACCCATTGAAACAATGGTTTCGGTTAACGAACTTTTCGGTTAACGAACGACCTTCTGGAACGGATTGAGTTCGTTAACGGAGGGGTCACTGTATTACATTTCCATATTTATTTCTGAGAATATATTCATTCAGTCACAGTTAAGGTAAAATATACTTGTGATATAATATTTTAATGAAAATATGGTATCGTAGTTTTCTTTTGTTTCAAATTTAATTAACGAAGATTGATGTTTCAAATGTAATGAACAAAAATTTATGTACAGTATCTATAAATAAACTTTAAAAAATGAATACTTTATGTTTTACATCGTCCTGTGCATACCATACTATGCATTTGGCTACTTTGGGCTTGCTATGATGACGCAAGAGATCTGCCCTGGCGACTGTACCGACACTCACAGCTGGTGGTGCGTTGGTGCGTCGTTTCCATTGTTTACTGGTAGTTACTGGTAAATTTTTTCAACCTAACGAAATTATTTCCCGTTTAGAGGTCGACCCTCAATTTTTGGCCAAATAATTTGGTCTTAAAAACTCGAACTACACACAGGTATATACGGTAAATAAGGACATGGGGGACCAGAGGTTTTTTAGGGGGGGGGGGGCAGCAAAAGTCCACGGATTTTTAACATTCACGGGTATCTCTGTTACCTAACCCCCGCGTATGTTAAGGGCCGACTGTATTATAATGATTTTTTCACAGCTTTTATAATTTCATTACAAGTAACAATATACAGTACGAGGCAACTGGGCTGGTGCATCAGTCGCGAAGTTTATTGCCAAGGCCCTGGCTAGAACCGCCTCCATATACAATAAACCCACTATAATTTGGCACATATGGGGCTCTGGCCTTGCCAAGTTATCCCAAATTCCGACTTATCGAGGCATTTTCCCCCTTCCTACAAAAAAATACAACAATAAAAAAATATCAACCCATATATGTGTACAGTAAGTTCACATTGAACGTTAATCCTTTGAACGAATCCATACCATAACGAAAGCAAATTTTTACTACCCATTTGCTGATTAATGAAA